TGGGAGTGCAAATTTATACAGCCACTTTAGAAATAAATATGGTAGTTTCTCATAAAATTAGGAACTGACTTACCTTTCTAAGACCCAGATATACCACTCCTGGGCATATATCCAAAGGATACTGTAGCATACCACAAGGATACCTGCTCAACTATGTTCATAACAGTTTTATGCTTAGTAGCCAGAAATGGAAGAACCTAGATGCCCATCAACCAAAGAATGGAAAAAGAAATTGCAGTACATTTATACAATTAAGTATTACTTATTGTTAAAAACAATGACATGATAAAATTTTCTGACACATAGAATTAGAAAAGATCATCTTGAGTGAGGTAATCCAGACCCAGAAAGATAAATATTGTATGTACTCACTTATAAGTGGATATTAGCTGTAAAGGTTAACCATGCTACAATCCAAGAACTCACAGAAACTAAGAAACAAGGAGTGTTATGTGTAGGGAAACATGAATCTCACTGTAAAGAATGTATAGATAGACATCACAGGTGGACAAGGGCATCCATGGGAACAGGAGAGACCAGTTGGGGAGAGAGTACTGGGAAAGACAACTGGAATTGGGCATTGAAGGATTTACCTAATAATTCTTTATCAATGAAAACTCAGGACCCAGATATCAAGGTAAGAACATGAGTGATCAGAGAAGAGACTAGTAGCCTCTTCTCTTTCTTGTCCCTCAATACAAAAGAGCTAAGATCCATTTCTATGCCCTGCCTTACTACATTCTCTATCTGGATCAGTCCTTCAAAATCCTTGTGAGTAATTTTGGCAAGCTAGTAGCTAGTTCTACCCTCTTATTAAAAGCAAACTTTATTATCAGTAATGGAGCATCAAAAAGTGATCAAAATATGATGCAACATGTCTTCTTTTGTCTAAATAAAAGAAAAGATGTTTTAACACTGACTCAGAAAAGCTATACAATAAGAACACATACAAGTAAGAATTACATTCACAATTTCTTATCCATTTGCATTTGGCAAATTAAGAGAAAATGCTCCATTATATATCCTAACTTGGTGAGTCCAAAGTTAGGTTTCCAATTCACTTTCTATCCTAATTTGTATTACCGATCAGTGTCTTGTTCAGCCATCATCAGAGAATCTTCCTCCTACAGCAGATGGAAACAAATACCCCATGCAAACATTACGCAGAGAATGAGAGACCATGGAACACTCAGTCCTTAATGTGAGATTTCCATCAGATCCGTCTCTTCAGAGCTCAGGGAAGTCCACAGAAGGGAAGGGAATAAGAATATAAGAATCAGAGGAGATGAAGGACAGACACAAAGAAAACAAAACTCTCTCAATCAGTGGTCTTCATCATATAGATTGTGACCCCTTTGGGGATCAAATGACTCTTTCACAATGGATGCCTCATTTTTCCACAGAATTTCCATCTGAAATTCTACAAGCATTGCCTTTAGTATTCCCATTCCTATATATATTTACCCTTGTAGAATTCCAGCCAGAATCACCTGAAAGCTTTGATTGGGGTTTTCACATCTTTATCCAGCTGGTTTAATAATCTTTACTTAATTCCTGCCAAAATCTGATTCCAAAGATTGTACCACATTTTTTTGGTTTTTCGAGACAAGGTTTCTCTGTATTGTTTTGGAGGCTGTCCTGGAACTCTATCTGTAGACCAGTCTGGTCTCGAACTCACAGTGATCCACCTACCTCTGACTCCTGAGTGCTGGGATTAAAGGCATGTGCCATCAATGCCCAGCTCTACCACATTTTTTTATTTTCCATTTTTTTTAATTTTTTTAATTTTAAATAGCTTGTTTTACATGTCAATCCCAGTTCCCTCTCCCTCCCCTCCTCCCCCACTCCCCTTTCCCCCCACCCTCCCACCCTATTGCCAAATCCTTCCACATAGGGGATATCAGAGTCTGTCATTTTACTCTGGGTAGGGTCCAGGCACTCCCCCTAAGAGTCCAGGCTGAGAGAGCATCCCTCTTTGTGCTATAAGTACATAGTAATGACAAAGATATCTTATCTTGTTACAAGGCTATATTAAGTAGCTATCTACTTCTAAAACGAATATGTAAGTTAATAAACTTTAAAAGAGGCAAGGTTTATTTTGGCTGCTAATTTTTGAGATCTCAAGTCATTATAAATAAACATGTATATTTTAGGCTTATTGTACAGAGGCAGTCCAATATGATGGGAGTAAATAGTAATGTCATTTACCCTGCCTGGGAAGTCAGAGAAAAAGGAGGGGCCAGAACTACTTCTTCTGCATGTACACAGTAGCACAATGGACTTTGATCTGCACTGGAATGCTTAAAGATATCAATGCCCTGTCCTCAATAACACCTGGTTATGCCTTAAACTATAACAGTATAATTTTACATGTCTTTTGATTAGTATGTCTTTTGAATTATGAAGCATAAATTTTTATTCATTGTTCATTTATTTTCATGACAAATTTCATGAATAATCTGAAGCATGGAACTATATTTCACTGAGTGTAGCTCTCATTTTTATCTCATTCTTAGACTTTCTTTAAATCAGAGATTAGATTAGAGCAGTGACTCTCAATCTTCCTAATGCTACAAGCCCTTAATATAGTTCCTCAAGTTGTGGTGACCCTCAACCATAAAATTATTTCCAACTTCTATTTCATAACCATAATTTTGCTATGGTTATTCAAACATCTGATATGCATATGGTCTTTGGTGACTGCTGTGGAAGTGTCATTCAGTTCCATGGAGATCATGATTCACAGATTGAGAACTGTGAGATATTTAATCAGACTTTAATTTTAACTGATTAGTATGTGTGTGATGCACACCATAGTACACACATGGAGATAAGAGAAGGAGTTAGCTGTCTCTTTCTACCATGTGTGTTATAGAGATAAAATTCAGGTCTACTGGTTTGGTAGCAATTACCTTTATCTGGTGAGCTATATCACTAGCCACCAGGTTTTGTTTTAATCAAAGAAACAAAAAAATAGTACATTGATTACTTTGAAATTACACTATGCATAATCATTTAAAACTACTTCACTGAATTATTTATTACATATTAACATGCTTTTTTTCAGAACACAGTTTCTCTGTTTAGTCCTTACTGTCCCCCAACTCACTCTGTAGACCAGGCTGGCCTCTAACGCAAAGATCTGCCTGTGTCTGCATCCTGAATGCTGAGATTAAAGGTGTGTGCCACCTGTGCCTGCCAGCATGCTTCTTATTACTTTCATTTTACTTATGACAAAATTTTGAAGTAATTTCTGTAAGATCAACAGTAACAAAGAATTTTAACAAGATTTACTTATTTTGCTCATATTTATGAGAAATTATTTGGAATAATTTGAGTAAACTGTGAGCTCAAAACACCTTTTCCTCAGAATTCAATAGTATCATTTCTAACATACAGTGATAGAAACTATGTGCTAAATGCTTACTTAATGTCATGCCCATTTAGAAATATTCTATCAAGAAATCAGAAGGAATTAATCATGGGTTTATGAGTTACCACCTTAGTACAAAACTATCTATATAATAATATGTATCTGAGGACAGACTACATTCCATTTATCAGAAATAATAATTCAAGAATAAGACTATTGTCAGTTCCTGGTTAATAGTTCTGACAAGATACTCTGTATGAATAAACATTGAAAATTGTGAAGTAAGTTCAAAGATTGCATAGAAATTTCAATAAGAATGGCCCCTATAGGCTCATATATTTGAATGTTTGGTACTTTGTTGGTAAAACGGTTTTAGGGAGAATAGGGAGGTATAGCCTTGTGGGAGAAGGTGTCACTGGGGATGGGTTTTGAGCTTTCAAAAACACAGAATAGGTCCCAGTCATTCAGTCTGTCGTCGCTTTCCTTCTCTCCTGTCCTTCTCCCCTGCCTCTATCCCTTCCTCCCTCTGCCCTCCTTCCCTTCAACTTATAGATAAGATGTGAGCTCTTGGCTACTGCTCCAGATCCATGCCTATCTGCTGGTTGTGTTGCTTCCCATATGATGGTTATAGATTGACTCACTGAAACTGTAAGCAAGCCCCAATAACCTTTTTCTTCTGCAAGTTGTCTTGGTCATGGTATCCCATCTCAGCAATAGGAAAGATGTTTTCTTTAAGGGGTGAATGTATAAAGAATACCCAAGGAAAATTAAAACATAACTTTAAGTAACTGGAACACATAAGAGCAGTGTGAAATGACCTGTGTCACAGCATGTGCTTGGAGAGACTTTATCTGCATAGACACACTAGAAGATGATGAGATAGAGACTCAGCAGAAAAACTGACATATGTGTTGAATGGGAAAAATTAAAAACCATGTCAGAAGCACAGTAATGACTTCATAAGTTACTTTTGAAAAGACAGCATAAAAGTAGCTCCAGTCCTCTGTGGTGGCATAGTTATAGTTAAAATAAGTTAATCAGGGAAGAGAAAACTGAATTTTTCACTCAGATTTATTTTTTTCTGTTTTTTATTTAAATTTAAATTAGAAACAAAGTTGCTTCACATGTCAATCCCAGGTCCCTCTCCCTCTACCTCCCCCTCCTCCTACAACTTCTCACCAAATCCCCATCCCCCCCTCCAAATCCCCACTCCTTTCCCCAGGGAGGGTGAGGCCCTCCATGAGGGATAACCGTATCTTCTTTATCTTTGGGAGTAGGCAGAACTTTAGGTAATAGTGTTTCATAAAGTGGGGTATTATAAGATTACATTAAATGTTTAATTAAATTAGTATCTGTAGGATATATCAGTCATGAATTTTCTCATGTATTTTTCTCTTTCAATCAGGCTTTTTAAATTTTTGAGATTATAATTTAATTATTATATTTTAAAATCTTTTTTTAAATCTCCCCATACACCACTCCCTGCTCTCCTTCAAATTCATGAATTCTTTTTTAATAGTTTTTATTGCATGCATATATATATACATATGAACTTGTATACCCAAAATATCTAATCTTAAATATAACCTATTCAGTCCATATAAAGTAACTTATATTTTAGGGGCTATTGATTTGCCACTAGACAATCAATTGGTAGCTCTTTCCTGTGGAAAACACCTCTCCTGATTCCAGCTTTCCTCAGTTGTCTAGAGTTCTTTGTGGAGGATTGAGACCTCATGAGCTTTTTCTCATCCAGTTAAGCTGTCTGAGTTTTTCTGTCCATTGATGGAAATCTCCAAGTTCTTTCAATAATAATCCAATGATTGGTAAGACGAAACATGCCACCAGGAAACATATCACAAAGAGCAATTCGGCTATCCAGGAGTTATATAAGGAAAACTGAGGATCTGAAATAGAGACTAAAGAAAGTGAAAAAATTAGGAAACTAGTGATATTGTGTATTACATGATCAATTCTTTAACATCTAGTATTCCTTCATATGTTATAGAATATCTCCATTTAGGTCTGAGAACTGTGATACACATATGTAATATCAGCATTTAGGTGTAGTGATATATTACTTATGATTTATTAAAGCTTTACTGGGGATTCAGAAAAGCAAGCTGTAGAGATCTCAAGCTGTAGAGATCAGGCAGTGATAATATACACTTTTAATCCCAGCAGCCAGAAGCTGGGAGGTAGTGGTATACACCTTTAGTCTAGGACTCAGGTTTAAGAGATAGTCCAAGGCCAAGCTGATCTACAAAAGAGTTAATCAGTCTAAAAGAGAATTTTAGCTCACACCTTTAATCCCAACATTAGGGAAGTATATAAGACAGAAGCAGGGTCTCAGAGGGCATTTATTCTCCTGCCACACTGATAGGAGCATTCATTCTCTAGCCACACTGAGGAGAGGTTACAGTCTGAGGTTTGGTGAGAACTCATGGAGACAGGATAGGCACATGGAGCCTGACATAAAGGTAAGAAGCTATTGGTCAACTGCTTTGCTTTTCTGATATCCAGCTTGAAATTTGAACCCTAATATCAGTCACGGGGTCATTTATTTATTTGTGTTATATATAGGAGGTTGACAGACCCACAAAACCACATCAGTATGATCTCTTAAGCAATATCTCCTCAATGAAGGCAACAGGTGACATGTTAGTATCATTCACAGAAATCTTACAAGGTCCTACCCCTGGATGAAGAACTACAAACAATTGATGGCTACTGAGCAAGAAAAAAAATTGGTCTTCTCTAGGAATGAACCCCCTGATAAGTTATCAAGTCCCAAATAGTTAGCTATAAATACATAAACCATATACATATGAGAAATGCTAAATGAACTCAACAGGTCAGCCTGGCAGTGGTGGCGCACGCCTTTAATCCCAGCACTCGGGAGGCAGAGTCAGACAGATCTCTGTGAGTTCGAGGCCAGACTGAACTGCCTCCAAAACAATACAGAGAAACTCTGTCTCGTAAAACCAAAAAAAAAATGAACTCAACAGGTAATATTTATGTACATATAAATTTATGTATGTATATATAAAACAGTAAATAATAAAGAAAAATGGATCATAAATTTGGAAGACAGAATGGAAATGATGTAATTATAGTAGTCATGTATGGAACACTGAAGAAAAAAATGACTTAAATTTCATAAATAAATAAAACAATTCCAAAGTAAGTATGGTACCACAAGATATTCCTAAGTAGGTCAAGGTATCATGTACATGAAAATCAAAGTTGGAGACATTATACTTCAAACTACATAATTTTTTCAGTAATAAAGACTGAATGCAGAGTCTTATGCTTACTAGGCTAAATCTTCAACTCCCAAAGTCTATTATAAAGTAATGAAAACAGTGTCTTCAATGCTAACATAGAAACAGATATGTTCTGCCGGGTGGTGGTGGCGCACGCCTTTAATCCCAGCACTCGGGGGGGCGGGCAGAGGCAGGCGGATCTCTGTGAGTTCGAGGCTGGGCTGGACCGACAGCCTCAGAAAACAATACAGAGAAACCCTGTCTCATAAAAACCAAAAAAAAAAAAAAAGAAAGAAAGAAACAGATATGTTCATCAATGCAGCAGAAGAGAGAACCTAGATATACACTTATGTTTTTGAGGTCCACTGAAGTGGACAATGGCACCAAATATATACAATAAAGACAGAATAGTCTCTTTAATAAATGATCCTGGGAAAACTAGATGTCCACATGTAAAGGAATGATGACAGACCTCTGTATTACATCATATACCAAAAATATCAAATCAATAGATTAAACACGTAAAGCTAAGGCTTGAAACCATATGTCATATAAAACAAAACTTAAGGAGCTTGGTTGGCATTGACCTTGGCAATGATTTCTTGAACTAAAGACAGACCCAAAAGAAGCAAAACTAGGAGAAACTACTGGAAGCCAATTTGCACAACAAAAGAAGCAAATCAGAGTGAAAAGACAACTACTGAAATGAGAGAAAGGGGGTTATTTGTAATACATATATATGATCAAAGATTAACACATATGAAACACACAATTCAATGGCAAGTACTCCCTTGTTCATTGTTAATGATATGTAAATGAATGCATCTTAGTAGTTTCTTACAGGGTTCTATATATATTCAACATATAATCAGGCTCAATTTACAGTTATTTCCAAACAAATTTCTAATATCCCTGTATGGTCACTAAATTAAAAAAAAACTTTGTAATCAGGGATAATTTAAAAGCTAAGATGGTCTTTGTCCTTGTTTTGTGGCTCCTCATATTTTCTCCTACACGATCCTTAGGAGTGAGGAGAAGAATAGGCTGAATGTAGATATCCAGATTGGGTTTTGATGTTTTTTTCTCAACTTGGATCTGTGTTTACATTTTGAATGCCAATACCTTTATTTTCATTGGACAATAACTAACAATACTATATTTTATCACCTGGTTTTATAAATCCCAATTCAGAGTCTGTCATATCATCCCAGGCAGGGCCTAGGTCCTCCCCCATGTGTCCAGGCTGAGAGAGCATCCCTTCATGTGGAATGGGCTCCCAGAGTCTATTTGTATGTGTGCATTGGGGGTGGGTTTCTGGATCAGTCCCATGATGGCCTCTCAGTCATCAGTCTATGCATTCCCCCTTGTTTAGGTCAGCTTCCTCTGTGGGTTTCAGCAGCCTGATCTTGATTCCTTTGCTCATCACTCCTCTTTGCAACTGGGTTCCAGGAGTTCAAATCAGTTTTTAGCTGTGGGTGTTTCCCTCTGTTTCTGTCAGCCACCGGATGAAGGTTCTAAGATGGCATATAAGGTAGTCATCAATCTCATCATGGGAGGGCATTTAAGGTAGCCTTAATGCCAGTTGGTCTCATTCTTGTAGATCTGTGAAGATCTTACTAGTGCCAGATCTCTCCTCCAATTTACAATGGCTCCCTCTATTATGGTATCTCTCAACCTTCTCTACTCTATTTATACCCTGGCTCAACCTCTCAACCTTCCTCCCCTCACAAGTCCTCCTCTCCCCTCCTCTTTTCACCCTCTCTTTCTCCCATCTCCTTCTGGCCTCCCAATCCAATCAGGAGATATCATCCCATAACCCTTCTCTGGGTTACCATGCATGTCTCTCTTAGGGTCCTCCCTGCTTCACAGACTCTCTGGCAGTGGGATTGTAGGCTGGCAATGCTCTGCTCCAGGTCTAAAATCCATATATGAGTGAGTACATACCAAGATTGTCTTTTGTGACTGGGTTACCTCACTCAGGATGGTTTCATCTAGTGCCATCCATTTGCCTGCAAATTTCAAGATTCCATTGTTTTTCTTCTGAGCAGTACTCCATGTCTATCCACTCTCCAGTTGAGGGGCATCTAGGTTGCTTTCAGATTCTGGCTATTACAAATAATGCTGCTATGAATATAGTTGAGCAGATGTCCTTATTGTATGAGTGTACATCTTTTGGGTATATGCCTAAGAGTGGAATTGCTGGGTCTTGTGGTAGACTGATTTCCATTTTCCTGAGGAATCTCCATACAGATCTCCAAAGTGGCTGCACAAGTCAGCACTCCCACTAGCAGTGGAGGAGTGTTCCCCTTTCTCCACATCCTCTCCAGCATAAGCTGTCATTGGTGTTTTTGATTTTAGCCATTCTGATAGGAGTGAGATGGTGTTCAGAACTGTTTTGATTTGCATTTCTCTGATGGCTAAGTATGTTGAGTACTTTCTCAAGTGTCTGTCAGCCATTTTAGACTCCTCTATTGAGAATTCTCTATTTAGTTCTGTACCCCACTTTTTAATTGGATCCTTTGGTGTTCTGTAGACTTGTTTCTAGAGTTCTTTGTAAATTTTGGAGATCAGCCATCTGTCAGATGTGGGATTTGTGAATATCTTTTCCGGCTGTTGTTTTGTCTTGTTGACTGTGTCCTTTGCCTTGCAGAAGCTTCTCAGTTTCAGGAGGTCCCATTTATTAATTGTCAATCTCAGTGTTTGTGCTACTGGTGTTATGTTCAGGAAACAGTCTCCTGTACCAATTCGTTCAAGGGTACTTCCTACTTTCTCTTCGAAGAGGTTCAGTGTGGCTGGATTGATATTGAGGTCTTTGATCCATTTGGACTTAAGTTTTGTGCGTGGTGATAGACATGGATCTATCTGCAGTCTTCTGCATTCCAATATCCAATTATGCCAGCACCATTTGTTGAAGATGCTTTCTTTTGTCCATTATATAGTTTTAGCTTCTTTGTCAAAGATCAGGTGTTTGAAGGTGTGTAGGTTGATATCAGGGTCTTCTATTCAATTCTGTTGGTCTACCTGTCTGTTTATGTTCCAATGCCAAGCTGTTTTCCAAAATATAGCTCTATAATAAAGCTTGAAGTCAGGGATGGTGATGCCTCCTGAATTTCCTTTATTGTACAGGATTGTTTTGGCTATCCTGGGTCTTTTGTTTTTCCATATAAAGTTGAGGATTGTCTTTTCGAGGTCTGTGAAAAATTGTGCTGGTATTTTGATAGGGATTGCATTAAATCTGTAGATTGCTTTTGGTAAGATTGCCATTTTTACTATGTTGATCCTACCTATCCAAGAGCATGGGAGATCTTTCCATTTTCTGGTATCTTCTTTGATTTTTTTCTTTAAAGACTCAAAGTTCTTGTTATACAGGTCTTTCACCTGTTTGGTTAGAGTTACCCCAAGAAATTTTATGGTATTTGTGGCTATTGTAAAGGGTGATGTTTCTTTGATTTTTTCTCATCCCAAATTCAGAATGTTGTAATTTTCAATGGAGATGCTTGAAATACCTGACTATACATATAATTTTTTCGAGGCCTGCCCAGAAATATGATGGGAAATACCGGAATAAAGAAAGCCCTGTTGGAACCCCTATAACTATAAAATTCTCAATTACTGTTGGGAAGTCAAGTTAAAAATAAAATGTTTCTGTGCTTTGATTGGTGATACTCTGCATGCATTTGTCTATAGGCCTCTAAATAATGGATAATTGTCAAAGCATCAAAAACAATTAGCACAATAACATCAACCATTAATTTACTTTCAAGTAATGGCCATATTTTAGCAGAAATGTATCCATAAAAGGATTTCAAAGTTTTATGAATCTCCTTAATATATATAAACACACACTGAAACTTAACTTGGTCTTATTAATTCACAAATTCATACTGACAGTTAAATGATCCCAGAAAATGCATAAAAGTGAGTCACTGGATTTGAGCATAAATTCTGGACATGTTTTGTTTTCTCCTTGTAACAAAAGGAACAGGAGACTCTGATGTCCAGCACAGCTGAAAATGCTGTGGACTCAGAGCAGCCCTAGCCCTTGACATTCACAATATTAAAACTGGAAAATGGTCCTCTGAGCTGTCTCCTGGTAATGATGAATTCTAACATAAATCTAAAGGAAATTATTTGTAGGAAAATTAAACAACTAAGAAATATCCCACACCCACTAATCCCATTTACCTCTGATCCGGAGTGGTAGATATACAGCAAAGAGTACAACAGTACAGGATAGGAAGCTCAATATTTGAAAGGGCTCTGAGTTAAATACACAGTGATACCGAAGTTGACAAGCAGATGGAGATCCTAGAACAGAAACGGATAGGATGGAGAAAAAGGAACACATGATTGTAGGATACTAGACTACAGACAGCTCCATAGAAAGGCAGGAGCTGCTGCTGTCTCATTCAGTCTTGATCTAGTAGAAATACATCTGAAAGTTTGGTTTGTAACTAGTGGAAATACAAAATGAGATAGAATTGCCGTACTAGCAGGCCTGGACTTGAGGCAGCACAAATCGAGTCTGTTCCATTTTGAGCTGAACTACATCTTTAAAGGGAAATTATTCTTTCAATTTTCAGGATTTAATTTTTCATTTATTTAATTACTTCACTGTATGCTCCTTTAGAGGTATAGAAGTGACTATGGGAATGAAAAGGTTATAAGTCACGTAAACAGACACCATTGCTAAAAACAGCCATGTCTTTGGAATCTCAAATTTATCAGTGTAAAGTTCAAATTTTCTAAGACAAAAAACAGTCATGAGTCTATTTGTGTCAACCATGACATTGGAAGATCAATGCCATACAACTTCGCCTAAGCACTCACATGACTCAGAATCAAATTTCTTAAAAATACCTTAATTATACTATCTTCATCATATCATTACCTTGTCTTATGTGAAAGCAGATGTATATCACAAATACAATGATCATTATAAATGCAATGGAAGTCAAAAGGTTCATCCAAATGTGCTCTTGATTAAAGAGGTCATCTAAAAGAAAGGACAGGATGTCTTAAAAACATTATGAATACCGCAAATAGCTTCACTGGTTTTGAAAACAGTTGATCATAAACACACTTCCTCTCCTTACGATCCTGCAATCTAATGACTAAGGTATGACCATTTTACAATTTCCCTACATCAAGAGAAAAAAGTCTCCATTCGCTCTCATTTCTGCGACCTTATAATCATTCTATTCTATAAAAAAAAAAAACATTTTCAGGAATAGGGAAATCTCAGCAGTATTAATAGAATGTCTCCAACTCTCTCTCTCTCTCTCTCTCTCTCTCTCTCTCTCCCTCTACTCCCTCCCTCCCTCTCTCCCTCTACTCCCTCCCTCCCTCTCTCCCTCTACTCCCTCCCTCCCTCTCTCCCTCCCTCCCTCAGCAGGATTTCACTCTGTAGCCTAGACTGTATTTAAATTCTCAGCAATCAAAACAGCCTTCAGTGATTATTCATGTGTGCTTTCTGCAGTCACACAAATCTTTTCAAGAGACTCACATATAGTCATAGAAAGATTTGTTTTTCCATTTATATTATAATCTTCTAAGAGTAAAAGGGGTACGATAGAAAGGGGACCATTGCTCTGAGAACAGAAAATGATTCCATGAAGTGAGATCTAACTTGCATATACCCAATGCTAATATCCTTCTACAATTATCAGTAAAAGAGTCTTGTTAGCTAAAGATAATTTTGCTAAATACAAGACACAAGCTTTTCCTGATTTGTCTTTGACATTCATCTATTACATATCCTAAGACCCAGCAATGCAAGATTAAGTAGTCTGGGCTTTAGATATAATTGCTACTTACTACTGGCTTGAACGGCTTTTGTCAACTATCATTCAGTTCTGTATTCAAATGGAAGAACATTTCTGAATATTACATGAGACTAATAAAAGCTTCTTGCATAAATTCATTTAGGATTAATAAAAACAATAAATTTAATCCCATCATTCCAGAAGAGCCATGAGGATATAAATACATTGGAGGTGAGCTTGCTCAACTTAACAAATTCCAGGCCAGCCATGTCTACACGCTAAGACCTTGTTTCAAAATCAAAAATAAACATACAAAGAACAATAAAAATTGAGGACTAGCTAGGTAAAACTGCTTGTCATATAAACTTGAAGACTCAAATTTAATACTTGGAACCCACTTTGGTAGAAGAGGACTCAATCAAGAAGTTGTACTCTGACCTTTACATATGCACAATGGTGTGTTTTCACATGCACACAGGCACACAAACACACAAACACACGCACACCAATGAATGAAATAGAATTTTAAAACATGATATATATATATATATATAAATACATATATACCTAGATACATATTTATAACCTAGCTAAAACAGTATTGATTATAAAATCAACAATATTCATACATTTACCAAAATAAGTATATTATTAAACTTACAGAAGAATATTATGTCTAATGAAATAATATTAAATGCCAAAAAGCTGCAATATATGTGTTTATTACAGATTTTCATTGTTCACTTGCCTTCAAAACTCTCATCATAATACCTGACAATATTTGTCTTGCTGAAACCCAAGGGGAACTCCATAATATAATAAGCCATTTAAATATTAATCAACTTCCTATTTTTGTATTTATGTTTTCAGATCAACTACCAAACTCAACAAAAACTCACTTGCTAGGATGATACTTGTTTGCTTCTCTTCACCTGTTAAAGGGTTGAAAATACAGCACGTGATAACACCCTGTGACCGTTTTGTGAGAAGAGTTGTCTTTAAGTGGAAAAAGCTTCATCCTGTGAATATGATTTTGATGATGGTGAAAGTGCTTTGCCCCTGCTGTCTCTCCACTCCATTTGTGGCTGAGGGAACCACCCTGTTGAGTTACACTCCACAATGACTCCATCAGCACCAGGAGCCTGAACATGAATCTGTGTCTCCAATCCAACTGCTAGAGGAAACGAGAAAAAAAAGAATCAAGATATTATGTTGAGGCTTACTTGACTAGTTCAAACAGCAGATGTGTGATAGTTTGTTCTATAACCTCAGAAAATGTGTGAATCAACACCACATTTGATTTAAAGTTAGACTAACCAGTAAGTATTTAATTTCTATCCACTTCATAGTGTATTTTGAGGGAGCTGCTCAATATTTTGAGGGGATGATTTTTACTCATCACTTGAATATTTTAATATTTTCTAAAAAAAAGCATCTTCAACAAATGGATCTGAGAAAACTGGATGCTCATATGTAAAAGTATGAAATTAGACCAGCATCTGTTGAGTGGTGATGGTGCACAATTTTAATTCTGGCTCTTGAAAGGAAAACAGGAAAATCACTGAGTTTGAGGCCAGCCTGGTCTACAGAGTGAGTTCCAGGACATCCAGGCCTACACAGAGTAACTCTGTTTCAAACAAAGCAAACAAAAACAGAAAGGAAGGAAGGAAGAAATCAGATCAGTATCTATTACCTTGCACAAAAACTAACTCCACATCAATCAAACATATAAGTAAGTAACAGAGCCAGAAGAAAATATAGGCAGTGTGCTACATACTATATGTTTAGAAAATTCTTCCTTAATAGTACTCAATTTGACCAAAGATTGGTTAACAGCTAATGAGTGAGAATTTATGAAACAAAAAAGCTTCTGCACAGCTAAAGAAAAAAATCAACAAGATGAAGAGACAGGAGGGGAGACAATCTTTGTTAGTTATACATATGACAGGCGATTAATATCTAAATTGAAAAAAAATTCTCAAAGAAAGAAAAAAATTAAATAACCCATTCAAAACAATGAGCCTGGGACATGAAAAAAAGTTCTCAAAAAGTGCTCAAGATCCTTAGCCATTAGGGAAATGCAAATCAAAACAACTTTGACATACCATTTTGCACCTGTCAGAATGGCTAAAATTAAAAATACTAATGACAGTTTATGTTGGAGATGATGTAGAGAAAGGGGAACACTCCTCCACTGCTGGTGGGAGTGCAAACTTGTACAGCCACTTTGAAAATCAGCATGGCAGTTCCTCGGGAAATTGGAAATAAGTCTACCACAAGATCCAGCAATTTCACTCTTAAGCATATACCCAAAGGATGCACATTCATACAAGGACATCTGTTCAACTATGTTCATAGCAGCATTATTTGCAATAGCCAGAACCTGGAAACAACCTAGATGCCCCTCAACTGAAGAATGGATGAAGAAAATGTGGTACTTCAAAGTCTGTCATATCATTTAGACAGACATTGAAGATCTCACATGGAAGGCCTCACCCTTCCTGGGGAGCAGAAAGGGGATAGGATAAGAGGTTGGTGAGGGGCAAGCAAGGATGGGAAGGAGAGGGAACTGGGATTGAAATGGAAAACAAGATTGTTTCTAATTTAAATTTAAAAAGGAAAAAGAAGAAGAAAACTGACAAAACCCCAAAGAAAGAAAGGAAGGAAAGAAGGAAGGAAGGAAGGAAGGAAGGAAAGAAGGAAGGAAGGAAGAAAGAAAATGAAAGAAAATGTGGTATATTTACACAATGGAGTATTACTCAGTGGGAAAAAACAATGGAATCTTGAAATTCGCAGGCAAAGGGATGGAGATAGAAGAAACCATCCTGACTGAGGTAACCCAGTCACAAAAAGACAAGCATAGTATGTACTCACTCAAATATGAATATTAGACATAGAACAAAGGATTAACAGCTTATAATCCATACCTCCAGAGAAGCTAGGAAACAAAGAGGACCCTAAGAGACATATACATGGTTCCCTAGAGAAGGGGAAAGGGACAAAATCTTCTGAGCAAATTGGGAATGCTGGTGGGGGAGTTAGGAGAAAGAGAGAAAGAGGAGGTGGAAGGAAGACATGAGGGATCAGGAAGATTGACTCGGGAAGAATAGAGGAGAGTAAGGAAAGAGATACCTTAATAGAGGGAGTCGTTATGAGAAACCTGGCACTAGGGAAATTTCCAGGAATCCACAAGGATGACCCCAACTAAGAATCTAAGCAATAGTGGGGAGGCTACTTTAAATGCCCTTCCCCTATAGTGAGACTGATGACTACCTTAAATGCCATCATAGAGCCTCGATCCAATAGCTGATGGAGGCAGAAGCAGAGAGTCACAGCTAAGCACTGAGCCAAACTCTTGGAATCCAGTTGTAAAGAGGGAGGAGTGATGAGCAAAGGGGTAAAGACCACACTTGGGAAACCAACAGAAACTGTTGACCTGAACAAGGGGGAGCTCATGGACCCCAGACTGACAGCTTGGAAGCAAGCATAGGACAGAGCCATGCCCCCTGAAAGTGGGTGTCAGTTAAGAGGCCTGGGAAGTTTATGGGGACACTGGTAATGGAACAACATTTATACCCTAGTGTACTAATGGACATTGGGAGCCTATTCCCCATACATGGATACTCTGTCAGCCTAGGTGTATGGGGAGGGCCTAGACCCTGCACCAAATGATGTGACAGAATTTGATGATCCCCCATGGAAGGCCTCACACTTTCTATGGAGCAGAATAGGGATGGGATGGGGGTCAGGGGAGGCATGGGAGAATGGGAGGGAAGTGGAATTGATATATAAAATATGATTGTTTTTAATTTAAATGAAAAAGGAAAAAAGAAGAAAAATAAATGGCAAGTAAGATCTCAAAATATGTTCATCATCCCTAGCAATTTAGGAAAAGCAAATCAAAAACCTTTGAGATTTCGTCTTACTCCAGGTATGCAGCAAAGATTAACAAAACAACAGCCAATGCTGAAAGGTGTGTGGGGAAAAGGAAACCTTCATTCACTGCTTGTGGGATTGAAACTGAAGCAACCATTTTTGGAGATCAATGTGGAGAATACTCAAAAGGTAAAAGTAAATCTACCTTAAGTCCCAGGTTTATCACTCCTTAGCACGTGCCCAAAGGACTTGACATCCTAATCCACAGATACTTACTCAGTTGTGAATATTGCTGCTCTCTTCAGAATAGATAACAAATAGAAACAATCTTAATGTCCTTCAACATATGAATGAATAGTTTAAAAAATGTGGTACAAAATTATGGGATAGCAGCTAGTTGTAAAGAAAGTAAAATCATCAACATTTTAGGTTTAATGGATGGAATAGAAAAGATCATGTTGAGTGGGGTACACAAAACCCAGAAGGATAAATGTCACCTCTTCTCTTTCATCAGGGGCTCCTAGCTTCAAATTTTTAGATGTGAAAATGTATCCTGAAATAATTGCAGAAAACAGGAAAATAGCATCAGACTATTGCTGGAATGGGAGGGTAGTGGAGCAATAGAGAAGGAAAAAGCAGTGTACAGGTACTCTGGTTGTAAAAATGGGGGAAGGGGGGAAATGATTTCCCTTGGTTTTTCCCAGAAGTGGAAGGTAAGCTTCTAATGCTATAGACATCATTCACTTCATATAAAGGAACCAGAAGACCTTCAGCTGTATCGAACCTGAAACCCTTCCCCTGACACTAGCTTTCATGGTACTAGAAGCTTCAGAAGGAGGGAAGCAAACAACTGTCCTACTCAGCTACAATGCCTTCAAACCACATGAATGACTGCATGACAAAATAACTCCGAGGATGCAGTGGTCACCTTAGCGGTGACCTAATGCTGTCTAAGTGAACTTAAGACACACTCAACAAGAGATAAATGATCCCTGGTCTTGGAAAGCTAGACACCTACCCAGGGTTAGTGATAGTTGGAGTTACAGATTTTCAAAGAGAACTGACAACTGCCACCTTCTTAAACCAACATGCCTAACTGCATTCTAAATACTTGTCCTTATCCACAGATAAGTGTAATCTTCACCCCTCATTAAAGAAACTTCACTTTACAACAGACAGAGATCGTTACAGAAAACCATGCCAATACAAATGCAGAATTTGGAGCCCAGCCCCAAAAGATACATCTCCAAAACAGTTCTCATAACCTAAGGTTCAAGGAACACTGCAGAAGAGGGGGCAGAAAGAATATAAGAGCCAGAGGATCAGGAAGCTTGATGTGAAACTACACCTCCTAGTAATATAAGAAGCTGCACCCATTAAGTCTCACCAGCATGACTGCTTCAATATGATCTGAACAAAGACAACAACAATAAACATACCAAAGTGCCCTGAGGGGGAGGGGTGGAAGCTCAAAAGTACTACACCATTCACAAAGACAACTAAGGAATGTGGAGAGCTGGAGAAGTAGTCTTCCCGTTGAAGAGCACACCAATTGCTTACCCAATACCAAATGGTCAGTCCTGAAAACAAACATATATACAGGTGTATGTGTGTGTGTGTGATATATGTGTGTGTGTAATATATGAGTAATATTCATATATATATATAGAAATCATGAAAACTTAACAGGTTATATTCATATATTTAGGAATATATATGTGTATACGTGTGTGTGTGTAATACAATACTAAATATAAAAGGAGACCATAAATTCAAAAGAGAGATATGAGAGGTTTATGGGAGAGTTTGGAGGGAACAAAAGAAGAAGAAAGTTATGTAATGGTATTATAATACTAACAAATAAAAGAAAAATTTTAAAAGAACTATTTATTATTGGAACTAGCAAATGACAGTGGTTTTATATGGATACCTCAATGTTTTGGTTTTATCTTAAAAATAAACAGTATTTATTTTAAATTAGTAATAAAACTTTAATGCCTAAAAACTTAAAATGTTAAAAAAAACACTTAAAAACCAAGACAATTTCCTTGTATTTCAGTTTATTGGGCACAAGGACACTGGTATAATATGTTCCACAGGCAACTTACCTGCCACACTGAGATTCATGCTGTCCACATAACTGAAGACACTGTCATTAAGTGAACATTGGTAAAGCCCATCATCAGGAATGCTGATATTATGAATTCTGAGGGCCACTTTTCCCTTTCCAATGGCCTCTTTCACAAACTCTATACGATTCACATATTCAGGTGCAGCTTCTCCATTCGCTCCATGGCTACCTCTGTATAGGTAAAGAGGTTGGGAATGGCCACTCCTGAACCAACGCACCTCCATGTACTCCACACTGCGTGGTGGGATCACCTGGCAGCTGAGTTCAGCCTGGTCTCCTACTCTAGCTAACACCTGTCCTTTGCGAGTAGGTATCACTAGTTTCTCTGTGGAAAAACAAAGAATACAAAATAAGTCTGAAGCCAAAACCATCCCAGTCTCTTAACTTTGTATTAAAAAAATACTAAATACTGCCCATCACACTTAGCTGATCCAAATGTTTGGATCTGACTACACCCCTGTAGTCCATCAATGTCTTAGTGTTTGAAAACCCAATATTTTCATTGTATTTTTAAATATATATTTGGGAAGATGCTAGAGCAGAAAGCAACAACAATTTGTTTCTCTATACAGCCATATAGAGGAAGAACTGTTTGCTGCAACTAGTTTGGAACTTCACAGAGCCTTAGAATTAATCAACTGCTGGGAACTTTGGTGGATTCCTTCGAAGAAAAGCTTAAAATGAAAGGTTTATCTTGGCTTCTGGTCTCCTGATCACTTCACTTTTATGGAGCTACAATGACTCTGAATTTCAGGGGGTGATGTTTTAGTGTTTTACTCATTATGACAATGGAATGGTAACTTTCTCCTCTTTCAGTGCAGGATGAGTCCCTGGAAGTATATCTTAGATTCCATTCACAGCCAAAACTAATTAAAAAAGGTAAATGAGTCTTCAAGTTCCTTCCTTCATCTGAGATAGTGTTGAGCTCTGCCTTCATCAAAGAAGCTCCATATTGCAGGGGTGACTGCTAATCCAGAAACCCATAACTGGCCTGGACGCTGAGAATAAGCAGAGGTAGAGTGATCTGTCCTAAATGTGATGTCTATACCACCAACTTCAAGTTTCTGGGAACACTGAAGCTGAGGACATATAAAGAATAAAGAGCCAGGGCATGAGGAGATATGCAGGAAACAAAATCCTATTGGTTATGACAGACACTCATGCCAGTAGGGCAGTGGTCATTGACACAAATGCTGCACATTATCAAATCCATCAATATTTCATCACAGGGGGGGCATTCAAGAGTCCCTACCCATGCCTGAGAGTCTATTGGCACTTAAATGGATCCTGGAGGAGATTCTATTGCTTTTTTCAGTGGTGTAGCAGATATATGTTGTCTATGTCCTAGTAAATAACCTTCTGCCCAATCTCATGCAGGCAATTGTAATTACACTCAAAGGGCCATGCACAAGAAGAGGGTGGGAAATGGAGTGGGACTTGTTTTAAAGAAGAAAGGTTTCATCAGGTGAAGGAAGGTGTGCAAATGGGAATGAGGTGAACATAACTTAAGTTATGAACTGGTCAAAAGAAGTTTGAAAAGATGTTAAAAAAGAAAAGGTAAATGAAAATAAAGAAACTTCTTACCTGAGGACATCGTCACTTGCAGAAAAAGGAAGTATCCACAGTATCCAGAAAAGTAAGAGAACCTAAGCTTCATTGTTTCTGAAAATGAGACTAGAAAGTGGTCGTAGACTGTGAGACACGAGGCATAAATTTGTCTAGACAAATGTTCTTGATAACATAAAAAAAGAACGAGCTTAATGCTTTTCCTTTTGTGGAGTAAATCTTGCCAGTGCTTGATAGAATGTCTATGTTCTCAGACATGTTCTGATCAGGAGAAATCTCCTCAGTACCTTTATCCCATTGGCTAAAACTCTCATATTTCATCATGTGCTATGACTTACGTATATCTAGTCAGGCAATAGACTTTAGGGAATACCAACTCTATTATGTTACTAAATTGACATAATGTTGAATTGACTCTAAGTGACTTATCCTTATATCCATTGAAAAATTCATCTCCCATTCATTATCTCAGAAGATTCTATTTTCTGTAGACATTAATTAACACAGATAAACCAGGCAGTGGTGGCGCACACCTTTAATCCCAGCACTCGGGAGGCAGAGGCAGGCAGATCTCTGTGAATTCGAGACCAGCCTGGTCTACAAGAGCTAGTTCCAGGACAGCCTCCAAAGCCACGGAGAAACCCTGTCTCAAAAAGAAAATTTAACACAGATAACCACAACTAGCCAAGGAGCAGAAAATAAGAAACTGAAAAATGATTAGCACTAAAGGGAACATATATTCCTCACTGCCCTCAGTCCCACGGCTCAGAGATCATTGTTTAAAGGGGGCCAGAAACAGTATAAGAGACAGAAGTGGTGGATGACTACAAGGAAATACCTTCTGGATATGCACCTAAGACAGCATGCATAAAACCCGTGCAAACCCAATCTGTGTCAAACATAGGAGGCTGGGCACACAAATGCACTCCTGAGCATGGAGCAATCGGCAATTAGTAGCTTCTGGGAAATAAAGGGCTAGATTTTTCAAAGGGTGTAAGCATCTGAAAGTTGACCACACTCAAGGGGAAGACTACAATTCCAAGAATATCTGGGCAGCATAAAATTGGTCTTGAAAGGTTTTTTAAAAATGGACACAAATTTGGATAAACAGGGAAGGGATGGATATGGGAAGATTTGGGGGATGAATATGACCAAAATTCATTGGACAAAACTACAAAGTTTCAAAGGACTAACAAAAGGTGCATAAGTAAAAGACTAAAGTTTTGACACTTGATGAACTGAAACTTCAAACTTCACTGTATATTAGCCCTTTATAAAAAACCTTGCTAAATATTTAAATTTTAATATTAAAAATAATGAATTTTTACATAAATATAGCAAAATATTTGGATATGGTATATTTAGACAAATAAATTGCCTAAAATTTAGCTGGATATCCTGCATTTTATCAGGTAAGCACATATCTATTTTAATGTCATAGACAGTTGATTCACTGTGTCAGCCTGCCAAATCAGCCTGACAGCCAACAAAAAAGAAGGATTTCAAACAACAGAGCAATACAGGACTTTATTTAAGCCATTGCCATATGCTCTAGAGTGGAGATCATGAGGAGAAAATCCCTGCTATCATGGTGATCCCCAAAATCCCTCTACTGATAAAGAAAGTGGGAAGTTTACTTGGCCATTGTGTGGTGAGTGCACACACATGTAAAATTAATAGAGTATCTTCCACTTACCTAACAAATAACATATTATATGACACTATAATTCTGTTCCATCATATGACCTACACACACACCAAGATGTGGGCTTACTACCTGGAAAAGCAGGTTTATATCCAATAAGGAGACATAATAATAAGAAATGTAATTTCTAAATGACTGGTATGATTCCAGGATCTCCCTCCATTACCACCAACTGCTTTCAGAGAAATTAACCTAATGTTTGAATTTATTAAGGTTAGTTTAAGAGAAACAAAAGCACAAGAAGACTTAGACCTAATAGAAGTATATGAAAGCTGATGACTGGAAATAACTCAACATTTTTCTGACCAATAAATGGACAAACAAGCTATAGCTAGCCATATAATATATGCATCATAAAAAGTAATATGACAGATTTCTCTATAAGTGATGGATAACAAATTCTAGAGGATTTATATAAGTTAAAAGAGTCTGATGAAATTGGTTCATATGTTATAATTGCAAGTACATAAGGTTCTAGAAAGCACAAGTAATTTTTATAACAGTGCATCTGTGGCTTCCTAGGGACAAAGAAAATAGAAAGGAATGATCCCAAAAGCTCACAAAGACAGTTTGAGGTCACAGTTATTTGTTATATGAACTGTAGTGACAATCTTGATTGTATTTAAAATCTTACAAATTATTTTCCTTAAATATAAAGCAGACTTTGTTGCATTTCAGTTAAACCTCAATAAATCTCTAGATAATGAGTATGTTTTAAATAAGCACAGTATTAATGATGAATTTTTGGTGGATATTTATGTGTACAAACTTTATCATATATGTCTCACTATATAACTTACAAATAGCAGATCTTCCTAACTAGAGGCACCTGTGTTATGAGTGTCAAGTATAAAACATTGGCCTCACTATTTTCTCTCTGTGTTCTTTAAAAAACAATAGTCTGTGGAAATGGTATATTTTCTGAAATTTAGTGCACTCTGGAATCTTGATATTGAAATTTGAAAGCAAATACTTTCTTTTGAAGGACTTCACTGCCTATCAGAATTCTAAGCACCACATATAATGAAGAATTTTCTTATTAGGAAATTAGAGTTAAAGAAGGCTAGAATTGCAGAGGCAGAAAACACCTTGTCTCCAACATCCATAACAGATCACTTACTTGAGCTCCAGAATCCAGGCAGAATTTCTTTTTTTGGTCCTTCAAAAAATCTCAGTGCCTGCAGGTGTTTCAGCAAAGCTCCTTCACTATTAGTCACCAACACCTCCTTGAACTCAGAGTTGGTATTCTCCAAGTCCAACCAGTTTTCACCTGGGTGGTGTCTGTCACTCACCATTATCAAACCAGTATCAGTTCACTGAGAAACCTGAAAGATTTCTATTTTATTTTATTTCTACAAAAGCCCCATGAGTTCTCACACACACAAGCATCCTTCTCTGTATCACTTTTGAGCATTCTGTTCTTTACAGTAGACCTGTTCCAACATGACCTAATTGTCTCATGTGATATCTGAGATAAGGCATGTTTTTTTAACATCACTTCCCTCTAAATTTTGCTTGAGAACACTAGAAACACTAATCTTGATTTTATTGGCAGTATATGTTCCCAAAAATACCATTAATAATATAAATATTATTTAGTTCTTTTCTACTCCAATACTGAGCAAATACCTTTAATACTTCCGAATATCAGCTATATTTCCTTCCTAAATATTTACAATATTAAGTTTAGTGGAGGGTAAAGAACAGGACAGGCAATAATTGCCAAAGCCTTGTTAATAAGGTAGTTATTAGCATTTTATTGAAAATAAACATATTTTCATAAAATATATCCTGATCAATGTTCAACTTCCCCAACTTCTCCCAAATCCTTCCCACCCACCCCTTCCAACTCCAAACTTTCTCTCTCTTTAAAAAACAAACAGGCAAACATCGAAGGCAAAAAAACAAGCTTTAAAAGACTCCCAGCAATAGTGGAGCAGGTGTCTGAATTGGCCCTCCCCTTTAATCGAATTAGTGACTACCCTAATTGTCATCATAGAACCTACATGGAGTAACTTAATGGAAGCAGATTCAGTGACCCACAGCCAAGCACAGGGTTGAGCTCCTGGAGTTCAGATGAAGAGAAGGAAGAGGGACCATATGAACAACGGGATCAAGACAATGATGGAGAAAATATAGAGGCAGCTGATGTGAGCTAGTGGGAGCTCACGGACTATGGATTGACAACTAGGAAACTTACATGGGGCCTAACTAGAGCCTCTGAATGTGGGTGACAGTTATGTGACTTGATCTTTTGGGGAGGGCCCTGGCAGTGTCACCAGGACCTATCCCAGGGGCATGAACTGCCTTTTTGCACCCTACTCCCAATGGTAGGATACCTTGCTCAGCCTTGATCCTGGGGAAAGGGGCTTGGTCCTGCCTTAAATTGGTATGCCAGACTTTGTCGACTCCCCAAAGAATGTCTTACATCCTCTGAGGAGTAGATGGGGGAAGAAGGGGAAACAGGAAGGCAGGAGAGGGGGAGGAGGGGTAACTGGGGTGGGTATGTTAAATGAAAATAATTTTTAGAGAAAAAATACAACAACAAAAAAGCCCACAGAGAAAGCACATGAAATACACACACACACACACACACACACACACACACACCATAAAAACACAAAATCAGGAACCATAATATATGCAAAAGACCAATAAGACAAAAATGCCCAAACAAAGTGATATAAGGCAAAAAGTCTACAAAAATACAATTTAGTTGATTTTGTGTTAGTCATCTACTTTTAGGCATGATATCTAAACTTAAATGTGGTTAATATCACAGTGATATTCCATTATAGAAAATTAATTTTCCATTACAAGTATATCTCCATAGGAGACAACTTCATAGTTATGGATGGGAGCTTGTGATCACTTCGCACTTTCAACAGGGCCCCATTTGGCTTGAATCTGTGCAGGTCATGTGATGCTGCCACAGGATCTTTGATTCATATGTGCATCAGTCTGTTGTGTTTGAAAGACGCGGTTTACTTGGGGTCATCCATCCCCGTTGGCTCTTATAATGTTTCTGACTCTTATTCTGCATAGTTCCCTGAGCCCTGATGGGAAGGTTTGAGGATGACATTCCATTTAGGACTCGCTATTTCAGTCTTCCACACTCTGCATATAATCCAGTTGCGGGTCTCAGCATTAGTTACCATCTACTGAAAAAGAAAAGTTCTCTGATGATGGATGAGTGAGGCACTGATTTATGGATAACAGAATGATTTTAGGAGTCATTATTGTTTTTCCTTTAGCAGAATAATAGCAGTTGGTTTTCCCCTAGGCCCTTGGCCTAGCTAATATGAGGTACTTGGTTATCTGGGCAGTATCAGGCATGGTTTTCATCACGTGGAGTAGGCTTTAAATCCAATCATATATGGTAGGTT